CTTTTGTATCACACGGTATTTCTGGACCACCTTTGAATTCGCTAATCATTAAAATACTAGGAATTTCTTTTTAGGTGATCATTGTTTGCAAAATAAAACTCTCATTCTTTTTATAACACAGATTCTATCTTATCCTGGGTATCAATTTACTATATGCAAGCAGAAAAACTTCTCCCAACAAAGGTTTAATTAGAATTGTTAATAGCTATGATTTCCAAAGTGTTTGAGTCAGCCTTAGTAATAATTAGGGAGTCTTGTTCCATACAAAATGCTTTATTTAACCTTCATGCCTTCATTCAGATAATTATACAAATGCATACAGATAAAGGTTTAAACTCTATTTCAGTTCACAGCTCAATTCATAGGAAAGTTGAATACAGAAAAGCAATGCACCAACAGAATATGTCTGAGACACCATTGAAAACGATAACACTTGTTCATTTAAATCTCTGAGAATAGAATGGAATACTCTTCCGAGAGAACCTCATTAGGAGAGTCTCCCTTTTCATTATCATAGGGAAAAAAAAAAAATCACCATTTTACAGTAAAAGAAAAAGCTCTGAGTATATTTACAATACATACACTATACATAAATACAAGAACAACACTTACATAATATTAATAAACTCATGACAGGAGCTGCCTAAACACTACAGAGTATATAAATGCAGAGGAAACTATTAGGAAATTAGATATTTAAGCTGAAGAAATAAATTCATTTGCAATTAAAATTCAGAACAGAAAAGCCAAACAAAGATGTAAGAACTCAACACATTTGCTTGCCAGCATCATTGGGGGATTTCCCCCTTTAATGTAGGCTCTCCTCTGGGCACTCTTAGCTCTCTGGGTCATATGCCCAAGAGTTTTGTTGTAAGATTAGATCCATAATATGAATCAGAAGCAGCCCAGCTACTCACTTTGCTGTGCAGAGGCTTCTAGCCTAGAATAACCACTTCGCAAACTAAAGGACAATTTTTATATTTTTTTTACACAGAACGATCTTGTGATCCAATGACCGTGTGTAATGAGCTAAGTGTTGAGGAAAAGCAAAGAGATGCCTGCTTGATCTGGCCAAAGATGATGTTTTCTTTGTTCTCATATGTTTTTCAGATACGACTGGGAGATTTACTCAAAGGAATATGACGTCTGAGCTGACTGACCCTCTCCACCAAGAGAAATGTCTAGACTACTACTAATTATAACTAAGTCATTTTAAGTGGCAGGTGGGTAGCTTAAAGGTGGTCTGCTCTCATCATTTCACAACACAGAGACAGTGCCTAGTACATCCTTCTATGGACAAACACGAATGTGCTGGTTTCTCTTTGTAAAAAGCGATCATGATACACATAATTGCATTCTGAGGCAGGATGACATCATACATAAGACAATGTTTTCAAGCTGGTTTTGTTAAGGAGTTATCTCACATCCATCCATAGTTGGTTTGCCATGTGATGCAATGTGTCCCACATAGACATGAACAAAACAACAACCACACCACCCCATGGAGGGGGAGACAGTGGTTTTCAAAAATGAACCTTCAAACACAACACATTGTACACAGACAAGTTGATAGGAAAGAGCCTTGTATGTAGGCACCAGTGCCCAGTTCAGGAATACTCACTGAATGTAACAATCTGAGGAACAAAATACACTCTATAGTCTGTGTTGTATACAACACAAACCTCTGTCATGAGAAGGCTAGAAAAGTGAGTAGGGGGAAAATATATTTTCTATTATGTTTTTTGTTGTATTTTTAGATAATGAAATGAGCAGAAAAGGAAGATGTCAAAATATCCCTAAAATAACTTAGTTTTTGATTGGCTGGACACTTTTACTTGTAGAATTGGAGCTGAACTCTCTCCTATAAACCCTCATTTCTCAACAAAAATTTATCTCTGTCAAAGACTTGGCTACCTTGCTTTTGAAAAAAGAATTCCTCACAACAGGAATCAGTGAAACACTTCACATTTCTGGAGATGAAATGTAGAAAAAAAAAGGTTATTGATGTGCCTGTTCCCACTATTCATTTCTTGTCAACCCACTTAGAGGGGTGGCATTGTCGTCTGAGAAATAATTGTTGTTGAAACTCAATTAAGTGACAGGAGTCTAAGTCTACAGGAGATGGGAGGCATAGACACTTGCTTTCAGCATGGAAGAAGTGGCTTACACAGCTTTTATCTCTTCCCCCAGCCAACTAACAGGGAGAACGATCATAATTCAGGGGATTCATTTTCAGAAACTGAAACACTCTGAGAAATGGCATTCTTAATGTTCTCAAAGTCCATTAGCGCTGCCATGAATCAATACTGTCAGAGACTTTCTTCTATGCAGAAAGGGAAGGATTTTACGTCTCTGACGTTAGGCAGCTCCTCACATAGGACTCAAACTAACAATACTATAAGCAAATTACTTATGAGACTATTTAAAACATTCCAAGACACTGCTGTTATGTGAGAACCCTGGACAGGAACTGTCCACTGGTCATCTCAATGCTGACGTCAACACCCTATGGACACCTGTTAGGAAGTACCTCTACAGAGGGGAGGGATTTAGACACAGCCTTGCAGAGGTTATCACTGGTCTGTGTTAGGAAAAAAAGGAATGACTACACATACAAAGAAATATAAAAATTGAGAAAAACTACCTGGGACTAAATGATAGTAATAAGTAAGAAGGGTTTCAAAGATCTTGGGAGCTTTAGGCAAACACTTGGAAGAAATCAACAAGTTTAGGGAGGTCTGTGGTTCAATGTTTGTCTAGAATTACTGCCCATCAGTGAGTTTCCAGGAAGGGGCGGATTTCAAATCCTCTGTACCATTGTCTGATGTAGCAGGTTCTTCTGTCTATGTGTTGCTTTCATTGGTTGAATAAAGAAACTGTCTTGGCCTTTTGATAAGGCAGCACTTAGGTAGGTAGAGTAAACCTTACTGAATGCTGGGGAGAAGGGCAATGTGGCAGACACCATAAAGCTCCTGCCCAAGACTGACGCTGGTTAAAATCTTTCTCCATAAGCCATGACCTCATGATGCTATACAGATTATTAAAAATGGGTTAGATCAAGATATGTAAGTTAGCCCATAAGAGGCTAAAACTAATGGGCCAGGCAGTAATTTAATTAATATAGTTTCTGTGTGATTCTTTCAGGTGTAAGCTAGCAGGGCAGTCAAGACCAAAAACAGGCCCGCTCCTCCTACAACAATTGTCAATTCATGTGCTAAATCATCTGATAGATCATATTCCTACAGGGTTCTCATAACAACACCAAGTTAGACACTGGGAACATGGCAGCCAGGACGAGGGAAGAAAGCTATGTGCTATACTACAAAGAAGGCCCTCTTAACTTACTTTGTGCCCCTGGATATCTCAGCTGTTCTCATTGTGCCTTGGTTTCCCATCCATGAAGGGGAGACCAGTTGTACAGACTGGAGTGACCGTGTTAAAATCCCTCAGCGTGAGCTTTGAACCTCCCAGGGTACTTCTGCACTTTCAGACAACACACGGGGAGGAGGAAGTCAGAATGTCTCATGTCAGCATGGCCAGGGAATAGAGTAGCTGGGCTGTGACATTAGCATCTGTTTGCTACTCTCTCTCTCTCTCCCTCTTGATGCATGTGTCTTCATCCCTATTCTCTGAAACAGAGTAGGGTAAAGAGCGGATGGTCTTCTTGACCTGAGGTTGGGGCCTGGAGAATGCTGTCCACCCCAGTAACACACTGTCTAAAAACCTGAAAACTTATTCCTGGCCATACATTGAGAACCATCATTATTGAGTGTTTGGCTCTAATATAGCTTTGCTGGTAGCGTCGACAGCTTGCCTGGGAGAATTCATGCACTGAGACAGCAGGGGTAAAGAATACACTGAGTTCGTGGCTATGCCCAGTTTTATTGTTTATCTCTACCTATGACTCCACTTGTAGCCATAAAACAATTTGAGGAGAAAAACTTGTGAACTTCGGAATGTACACAATGAGGTAACTGCCAGGATTAACTAAATAACTGTCTGAAGGCCTTTGCAAGTATCACAAGATTTTTTTGGGGGGGAGAGAGGGGACTTGTCAGTGTTGACCTCCATATTCTCCTTGATGATATTAGGATTTATTGGGTGAAAAGAGAATGAAGCACAAAAGATAAACTTGCACACTGATGTAAGTGGGTAAAATAAAGAAGATAAAAATCTCTCGCTGTTTCGCACTAAGTGCATCAGTGTTTTTAACTGAGCAAGTCTTTCAGAGCTCTGTTATAAATGTGAGGTACACTTGATCTGGATATTGTAATTGTTCTACGTTGTCATGTACACTGAAGATAACTTTATTTCCCATAGTCACCTGATCGTATTCAAGTAAGACAAAGAAAATTAAGAGATATTAATTGCAAATAGGGTTACTTATACTTCAAAGTGATGAAAGCCCTTTTCTGTGGGTTTGTGGGAACAGATCTAATTTACTATGTGCATATATTTACTCTGTGTGTGCTCAAACCATGCAGGAAAAACTCGGTATGATGAAGAATTATTGCTGTGTGAAAGTATAGGATTATCTCATTGGTCATATTCATTGACAGGCACTTTCAGCGTTTAATTAATTTCTGGAAAAAAATGGGCATTAACTTTTTCCTATTGCCACTACAGAGTCTTTTAATATGTGGCTATATCAATACACTTAACCTCATCAACATTGGAAAGCAACCCCTCTGAAACTTAGACAAGAATAAACACCTGAATTTATTGTTTTCAACTGAGAACCACTCTGCTGAGAAGGATAACTGAGAAGAGAGAATGATTGCTAGATGATTTTTCTAGAACAAGCACATCTCCATTTTTCCTTTTCCAAGGAAAGACAAGTATGAAGAAATGACCTCATCTGAGTTTTAAACCATTCTGGCTAAGCTATGACAAGCGGTCACTCCGTTCTGACCAAGCACCATGAACATCAACAAGAGGGACCATTTCCGGTGGCAACATCACCGATTGTGAGTACCATCCACACACAAGGCATAGCTGAATAAGTGTTATTTTTTTTATTGTGATGAAAACTAGAAGCTTTCCCCCAACATATGTCATCAAACTATTTACAACCTCTGTAAAATTGGCGTGTTTGAAAATACTTTGTCCACTATCACATATGTTACGAATACAGTAAAATAGCTTCACTCTATTTTTTTTAAAGATGCAGTACCCTTCCATTTTATTTTCTTATGAAAAATCTGAATTTCTATTGCAATTGCTCAGTATTTAGCATATTTAAAATACCAATGGGCATGGTTTGCTAAACAGACATTACTCTATAATGAAATTGTGAAAATATAGCATTTTGAATTTGTATATACATTTCTTAACTATAAAATGCAGGCAAAGTTACATAGTAAGATAAGCTGATTCTCTAGTCAGGTAATAACTTACATTTCTACATAGTATGGATTATCACAAAGTATTTCTTTTACAAAAGTTCTTTGTTGATATTTAGTCGCCTGGCGGCTGCTGCATGTGCCAGTGTGTGCACACAGGTGCATGTGTTGGGGGTGTCTCTCCAGGTAAGTGAAAGGCAGTGTGGGAGCAAGGAGAAATGTAATATGGAAGACATGACCGGTCAAATCTCTTCCCGAGACTAAACCAAGACCGGTTCCTTCTGCAGGGAATCCAACCTCAGAACAAGTCAAGGAAGAGATTTGGCTGATGGCATTTATTTATGGGACAAACTTAATGAGAGTAGGGTACGAACTATGAGTATTAAGGCTTCCTGGGCCTATGGTGGTTCATCAACATCAGTTCACATTCGATGCTTTCTAGGCAGACTGCATGGGTGCTGGTATTGCCACTGCTTCAGTAAGTTCTATGACTTCTCAATATAAAAGTGATAGACAGCCTTGATTAACCCCTCAGCTACTTTTCTAGGCAGTTACAAGAAGAAAACAAAGGCATATTAATACTACCGAAGGCCTCACCTCACCTGATTTATTCAATTGCAGCTTTGGTACATATAATAAACAAAGTACAGACTAAGGAATACTGCATCTCTTATCCATATACATGTTATCATTCTAATGAGCTGATCTCAAAGTGCAGACTTACATTTCCATTCAGAAACAATTGGCAATTTGGAGTTAAACAATTCGTATAAACATGAATACAGTCTTTGCATGAGCTATTCCAAATTTCCCTCATGACGAACATAGCTTTTCTAATCACCTAGAACTTTCGTTTGTAAACAGTGAAGCGTTTTGAAAGACCCCGCCCCTAACTCATCTTCCTCTATCCCATTTAAACTTTAAAGTGATATTTAAAAGTGCTCATTTTACTCATGTAACTGACCCTCAACTTTTTGAAAACAAAAGGCGTACGCATTTTGTAAAGGCAGTAGTGTACTTTCCATGGTAAAGCCATCAGGAACCTCTTTCTCAATGCCATAACAGAACTTAAAATCAAGCAGTGTCCAAAGCAATCGACAGCAGGAGGCTGGAGCTGAATGGGAAGTTTCTCTCCAAACAACTTGAGGTTGAAATATAAGGGACTCTCTGTAAACCCTCAAGTAACTCAACTCCCTTGTCATTAGTCTTCACAGGGCAGGGAGACAATCACTTCTTCCTGCTTGTCACCAGGTCTTACCAACCACACATGAGCTCCCTAGCTGCAAGCTGAACCGCTTCAAATTTGAAGCCCAAACTTGCTCTGCTTAGGGAACACCAAGAAGTCCTTCAAGATTCTTTCTCTTTTTCGATAGCTTCTCATAGACTGTGCTTTTCAAGAAGCTAGATATGCACATAAAATGACTGGAGGCGTCTCTGTGCCTAAGGATATCATATTTCCTTCAGTCCCAAACCCACCTGCCAAGGAGTACTGCTTACATCCCCTAGATGAGTTCCAAGTGAGTTTTAGTTCTTGGGCCACATCAGAGACATGTTCACTTGTGCTTACATCCTTTCTAAAAACATCACTGTGTCAAAAGGAGGGGGATGCTGGAACGATGGCAGATTTCATCAGTGATCTTACCATCTCAGTCTGCTTCCCACTGCTGGGGAGTGAGTCGGGGAAGCTTGCTTCCCCAAGTCTTCCCTAAGCGGTTAGGTGCAACTCCTTTTCGTTCTGTGCTAAATTTAAATCAAGATGTCACTCAGGAAGCTTCCTCTGCCTGTCAGTTCAATGAATTCTACCTGTAAAACTTGCAAGATGTCTCTCAGTGGGAAAAGGATTGGCTCTGATGAGAGCAGACAGAACGAAGCCAAATCTATCCTTCACTTGAGTGACTCCCCTATACCTGCCAACTAGACTTTGGGGCCAGCGCCTGGGGAGATCATGGTTGCTTGCTACTGTCTGAGTTCTTTGCACTGGCCAGTTACTAATGCTGGCATGCATCAGGAAGCCTGTTTTTATTCTGAATGATAACAGGCAATGAGAAGTAGGAAGTGCATACAGTACAGATTTAAAAAAAAATGTTCCAGTTGGTTGAAAAAAAATCCCACTGGCTGGTGGGTACCAGCCCGTGTAGCTGAAGCTAGTTATCAACAGAACTGCAGCCCTTGTTAGAGGGAAATTGCCTGATGAGTTCTTCAGACCTGGCAAAAAATATTAGAGCACATATTTTTGAAGCCAGGACTTGATCTGTAAATCATAATACTTTTGCCTGAACATTTATTAAAATTCCTTTAAAAGCGCTCCAACCCAAGCCGTTCTTCTAGTAGTGTTTATAGTCCTTGCTTTGTCAGAACCCAATTCCCCAAATTAGAAACGGATACTGTAAAGGATAACTCTGTCACCAGACATCCTTTTAGAATGTGCAGACATTTAAAAATGAGCTAGGAATATTATGTGGTTAATTTGTGCAATTTCCCAAATCAAGCATCTGTCACTGAAATATATTGCAAAGGTCTTTGCTGGAGACCTTTTATAGTTAAGCTATAAAAAAAAAAAATCTTAACAAAAAATCTCACTAAGCCCAATTGCCACACAAAGCTGGGAAAACAACAGCTTTTAGTGGGGACAAAAATATGATACTATATTGGAAAGAGTGCTTGTTGGGGATGTATTGCTTTTCCTGTATATTTTTTGCTAGATACAAAAGGCTCTTCATTTGAGGGGGACAATGGAACCTGACTTTCTCGTCCTTCTCCCAGGATAAGCAGGTTATCTGTCCCTGTGGATGCCAATGTGGGGAACATGGGGATTCCGGGCCAGTTTAGAAAGTGAACCATGTAGAGAAGAATCCACGGGAGAGTCAGAATCTTGGCTCTCCAGGTTGAAGAAGCAGCACCAAGGTGGGCTTCCCCGGGCCCCTCTTTCCAAGGACTCATGCCCAAGCTGAACAGCCCCACTGACTGAAGAGTTAACCTTCAGCTCTGCCTAGCTAGTCACCAAAGAACTGTTGCCCAATGAGAAACGGGGAGCATAATCTTTACTTGTGGTACTCGAGCAAGTAGGACGACAAAGAGCAGAAAGATGACCTCAGTGCTGTCACTAGGGCCTCTGAATGGAGCCAAGACATCTGAAATGCTGGGGTGTTTTTTACAATCCCTTTAGTGAGTATGAAAACTGGTAACGTGAGTCCTCAGTGGAGCGATTGTAGGCAAGTCCTTCTATTCATTATTGCTTTTCTCCTCCAGAGAGCGTTATTTCCACCTCTGCTTTGTCTCATTTTCATGCTCACTGACTTTGCATGGGCAGCCCCACCTCTTTCCTTGGTGCCGGTGTGTCTAAGGAAGCTCCCCTCCCCCCTGATTCCTTGTAATCACAAAAGGCAGGGGAGATGATGCCTAGGTGACAGAACACTACAGTTTGAAGTAGGGCGGTCATTATTATTATGACTATTGTCGTTATTGTTTTTTTTTTTTTTTTAGACAGGCTCTTCCTATTCAACTACAGAACACCTCTGCCCGTCCATGCCAGGGCAGAGCAGGACTAGCCTTTGAGAAACTGCTCTGCCCCTCTGCTGGAACGGTTGAACAAAACATGACCGAAACAGAACAAAAACAAGCAAAGACAAACAAATGAATAGACTCTTGGTTCTCTTCCGGGAGATGGCATGAAGACAAGGTGTGAGTGCTATCTAGGTCCGCCATGATTAGCATAGAGAGCTACTTCTGTGTGCCTTCTTTTGGGGTAACAGAGCTTCCCCAACAGCCCCTTCCTTTCTAGTTCATGCTGCTTGCTGGTAACAGACTGGATGTGTGTTCTGGCTTACTGAGAAAGGAACTGAAATCTCTGTCTAAAGGGCTTGGGGGTGGGGGAGGTGCCATGGAAGAATCATCCGAACTGAGGTCTTCTGTAACATCGGTTTGCGGTAGATGACCTTTAAGGGACTGATAGCCGAGTGTCCGGCCAGCTCGGGAAATGTACAAGCTACAAACATCTTTCCAACGGCAGAGGACAGAGCACGGACAAATAATGCCTGTCTCTTCAGGACCTGAGGCGCTGAACCCCCAGGCCAGTGTGCTTGCAGCAGCTCTCCCGCGGGGTGATCATGATGGGGGGGGGTTACCTTCAGGCTGAAAGGAGAAGGGTTCCTTCTTGTTCCTGCTCTGGTTTCAGGCACCGTGGGACGGTGGTGCTGTTGACGTTAACACTGTAGAGGAGGCTCAGCCCTGCTGAGTTAGTCGCTCGTTAAGAGACCCAGCTCTTATGCCCAGCTGGACGACAGGAGCCTTCCTCACACCAGCATGTGCCTCCTCCGGTGCAGGGCCAGGTGGTCTGACCTCGAGAAGCTGCGATCACAGTCCGCGCACTTGAATGGCTTCACTCCCGTGTGTTTGCGGTAATGCCTGGTCAGTTCATCCGAGCGGGCAAACTTCCAGGTGCAGCCTTCCCACGTGCATTTGTAGGGCTTCTCTCCTGGAAGAAACAAAGACACACAAGCTTTGGGGCTCCATCCTTTTTCTGTAACGACCCAGCCAGCCCTGAATGCTGGCAAAGCGTTGTCAATGGATGTTCTATTTGGCAGGTCTCTGTGAGTAAACCTTAGCATCCCACCGGGGGCTTTAGGGACTGAGAGGTGAGTTACAGTTTCCTGCTGTGACATCAGTGAAGACATCAGCTAACCTTTGGATTTCTGGCTGAGGAGCGATACTATAGGCACAAATGGGAAGGAGAGGCTTGCTCTTCACGCGGGTGGGCTAAAGGGGAGTATTAACACCCCATAGAGTCTGATTCGGCTCTGTAGCCGGAAATCATAAACAACAGTAAAGGGTACTTAGCTCCATTTTAATAGCCCCCCCTTCCCTTCAGAATATGCATCGCTTCAATGCTATAAGACTGTATAGGACAGAGAGTCCAGTTAGCTATCATTCAAGGTGTCCACATCACTTCATTACAGGTACAACAACCCATTCATTGGACATATGTTATTCACGAACATCTACATTTTGTTTGTCCCTTGGGAGGAAATCTTAGACAGACTAGCAGTGCCAAAGTGAGTGTGTTTTTCAAGACCAGAGAACCAAACTGAGCCTGAGGAATTTCGAAGTGGGACTGAATGCTGAATCCTTGTAAAAAAGCCCGAAGACGTTTGTAACTTGACCAGGCCCCGCCGTCTTCTTGTACAGACAGTAAAATATCCAAAGCCTGTGCTGGGAAGAGATAGCCTATCCATTGTCCAAATGGGCTCCCAGCGGGGAGCGGGACAATAGCTGACCCAGGTGCACTGTTTTCCTAGCTCTCTTCCAAAGGGAAGCCCTGTCCCCATGCAACCCCGCAAAACTGACCTCTCCTGTCCCACCTGTCCAATGGGAGCAGGGTAGGCAGCTCACGCTAACCCTGCACATGAAGCTGGAAGGCATCCCCCACTCCACGGGAAAGAAACTGTCCAGTGTGGCACCGTAACTTACTCAAGGCTCCAGGGAAGAAAATGTCCCTGGCCCTGAATCCAGCACCTTTCACTACGCTCCCGAGGAAAGGATAAACTTTATTACGTCCTCAGTACCCAGATTGGTACTCTAAATCTAGCTAAATCCTATTTCAGTCAGGCACTAACACAATGCACCACAAAGATCTTACCTTGTTGCCCATCTCTACTCCCAGAGCCTAGATTAGGTCCTAAACAAATTCAGCTGTTAAGTTACTGTTGGGTCTTAGGATCAAGTGGTTCAGTCCCGTGGAATCTAGAAATGATGAGGCACTAGTTGTGACTACAGGAACTACCAGGATCTTCTAAAAGTACCCATTCAAGTGAAAGCATACTGACTGTATCGACAGTTTTTGTATTGACAAAAAAACCTCTACTTTGAATTCATTCCATTTGTTCCAAGAAGACAGCATATGTACTTGCATGTGCTTACTGACCAGCGTTCTAGAGAAACAAAGCAAGCACAAGCCAGGTAAGTGCCTAACTTATGAAAGTCAAAGATCTGTAATCGAATATATTCCTGACAATGAGTAGCATGTATTTACATGTTGAATACTGCTGTAGTTTTTTTTTATTTCTGTATGAGTTCTGGTAGTTAGCACAAGATACACAAATATATTTGCCCCAATGTTCTTCTGCCTTTGCTACCCTGAGTTGACTGGTTGTCACCAAGAGACATCTCCTAACAGTGGCTTATGCTATGAAGAAATTGCCCAGAGAGAAAGTTTAGAAGCTGAGGTAGGAAGGAGAAAAGGTCTTCTTTCCCCCTCCCCACATTATTGAAAATAATGTATTGAAAATAGCTTTCCTTTTAACATAATGTATTTATGACTTTTCATCCCTATACTTCTCCCAAATCTTCCTCACCTCTCCTCCCATCCAGATCCACCCCCCTTCTGTCAGGGATGATAAAATAAAGTTAGGTAAAAACAAAAACTAACACAGTGGAATAAGACAAAACAAACCAACAGTAGGAAAAAAGCCCAAGAAAAGAACAAGAAACAGAAACAGATAGAGTCACAGAGACCCATTCATTACAAGCACTAAACTGGAAGCCATAATAGATAAGCAAAGGACCTATATGGTAAAAAGAAAGAAAAAATGTAAATAAATCTAAAAATAAGATAAAACTTAAAAAAAAAAAAAGAAAAGCTCTGACATGTCACTAGGAAACAAGGAACCTCCGAGGATCTGATGCGTTCCCTCTGATGGCCATCTTCTGCTAGGCATTCCAGTTTATCTCCCCAGCGAGACTCCCTTGGAGAAAACCACTTACAAATAAAAATTGGTTATCAGTTGTAGATAGAGTTCATATCAGAGCCATTTGCCTACTTCTCCTTCCGGCTCCCGTGTACCATCTTGTGCAGATCCTTGTTTCCCTGTGCGTTTCATCCCCGGTCCCTGTGAGTTCACGTGCACTTGGTACTGCTGTGTTTAGAAGGCCTTGTTTCTTCGGTGTCCTCCCTCCCCTCGGGCTCTTAGACTCTTTGCTTCTTCTTCAGCAGGGTTCCCTCAGACCCGAGGAGGGGAAGGCTTTTTTGATAGAGACATTCCATCAAGGACTGAGTGTTCCATGGTGTCTCTCTTTCTGAGTAATGTCTGGCTGTGGGTCTCTGTATTTGTTCCCATCTGCTGCAGGAGGAAGTCTCTCTGCTGATGGCTGAACAAAGGATGGGGTTTTTGTTTTGTTTTGTTTTGTTTTTTTAGAACATTAGTATTTGGTTTTGGGCTATCCAGACTCAGGTTCTTGATCAGCCAAATATTATCAGGTTTGGGGTCCATTTGGTGGAGTGGGCCTTACGTCAAATCAAATATTGACTGGTTACTCTCATTAAGTTTGTGCCCCCTTTACACGAGCATATTTTTCAGGCAGTATGCTATTGTTGATCAAAGCATTTGTGGCTGACTTGGTGTTTACATCTCTCCTTGGCTGACTGAAGCTTACCTTCCTTCCTATACCAAAGACAAAGGGGTCAAGCTATGTAGTCACCAGCTTGACTTCTCTGTGTCTAATAGTTTGTGGAGGTGTTGTCTTCAGCAATGAGGCCTTGATGTCAGTTTGGGGAGAGCAACCTATAGTCTTGGCAACAATCTAGGTTGTTTGGGGGTTTCCATAAAGACCCCTTTGGACAACAATTATTAGATGTAACCCAACTTCAGTGCTGGAAGCTCTTGCTTGATGACAAGAGATGTCTAGTTGAGGCTGCTCTGTCTCTTCTAGTGTTTGGCCATTTAGGCCACCGTCCTATATACACACATTTTTACAAAGTTTTACTACTATATTTCATATGGCCCTTAGCTTTTCCCTCCCTCAACCCCTTTCTTCCTGCTACTCCTTCGAATCTTCTGTTCCAGTCCCTCCCCACACATCTATAACTGTCTATTTTCTATCTCTTTTTTAGCAAGATCTAAGTATCCCTCCAGTCACTTACTCTATACCTAACCTCTGTGATTCTATGGATTATAGCTTGGTTATCATTGACTTAGCCGCTAATAGTCACATATAACCTTGTTTTTCTAGATCTATGTTACCTCACTCAGGATGATTTTTTTTTCCAGTTCCATTTATTTACCAGCAAACTCCACAGTTTCATTTTTAATGGCTGAATAATATTCTACTGTATAAATGTTCCAAGTTTCTTTATCCATTCATCTGTTGAGGTTGTTTCCAATTTCTAGCTATTATGAATAGCAGAGCAATGAACATATGTGAGCAGCTGTGTCTGTGGCAGGATAAGGCATCCCTGGGGTGTATGTCCATGAGGGATATGGCTGGACCTGAAGGTGGATTGACTCCCGTCATTCTGAGGAACTGCCTCATTGATTTCCACAGTGGCTGTACGAGTTTGCACACCTACCCGCCGCCATGTATGAGTTTTCCTTTGACTCCGCATCCTCACAAGAAAGAAAAGTCACCCGTTTTCATGATCTGTGCCATTTAACAGGTGTAAGGTGAAATCTCAAAGTAGTTTTGATTTTCATTTCCCTGAGGCGAGGGATAGTGCACATTTATTTAAGTGTGTCTTGGTCACTTGAGTTTCCTTTTTTAAGAATTTTCTGTTTAGATCTGTACCCCATTTTCAAACTGAGCTGTTTTATTGATATCCAGTTTTGTGAGTTCCTTATATATTTTGAATATCAGGCCTATATTGAATGGATATTTAAGTGGACTCTGGGGATTGAACGGAGACCACCAATCTTAAATAATGAGGTACTTTATCCACTGTGCCATCTCACTTGAAATATACTTAAAAAATTTTGCGTTGATTTTCTGTGGCTCTGGGTATGTTGGGAGGTTCTGATGGCCAGAAGCTGAAGTTTACTATGGCCTAGCAGCTTTCTCCAAGCTCAGCAACATGAAGGACTCATCCCCAGCAAGGTTCCCTGCTTTCTACCTTCCCAGATTTGGAGGGTGTCTCTAAGCCTGGTTGCCTGACTAATCTCAAGGATGTCCCTCGAAATAATTCCCTGCAAGCCCTCTTTCCCTGCTGACCATATGGTAATTTAGTAACATGTTCTAGCTATTTTCATAGGGTTGTGCTTCCACTAACCCAGGTATATGATAGGCGTGTGTAAATTGTCCCCAGGTTTCCCAATGCTATATATTTCCCATACTCTGGAATAAAGTTGAGTTGTCTCATTGAAGTTTTCTCCCAGAGGCCTATCTCCATCACCTCTGCAGCCATTTGAACCCTGTTCCCTGCCTCTGCTCTCATTACCTCCATGTATGGGTGACCAACAGTCCCAAAGAAGACCCACATGGGTGGATGTGGATGTGCATATGTGCAACTGCACACTTGAGGATGTTAGAGGACAACATGCCTTATTTCATTCTCTTCCTCCATGATGGGGGTTCCAGAGATCAATCCCAGGCTGTGAGGCTTGGTGGTGAGCCCCTTTGCCCAATGAGCTACATTCCATTGGCCAAAAAATGTCATCTTAATCGATAGCCATAAGTTATCTGTCTTTATTGTACAATACGTGGTATCGA